TAACCAATTGGTTCCTGAGCTCATTGACTTCCTCTTGAGTTGCCATTATCTTCTTAGCCTTCCTCTTTTGTCGAATCAGTTTATCAAAAAGTGAGACTTGAATAAAGAGGTTGTCCTTGATTAATCGCCCTTCTCTCCTCGACCAAGTACTGTGGAAAAGGAATTTGGGGATATTCATTGTTAATTATTTGACTCAAACTTTATTCAACATGCAATAGATGGAGGAAATGAAAAAAGATTGGAATAGATTGTGAAGAATATTCAGATGTAGATGGAGGGATATGGAGAATTAGGAATAGAAGGTACCCCCCTAACTCAAATGACGGAAAAGACCGACTAATGCGTGAACCTAAGACATGGTCATGGTGACATATACTCAAAGTGTGTGTTAGGACTAGTGAGTGTAGGTGGTGCGTTAAGACTCGTGTCATGACCATGTGGCTAGAATATGTGACTAGACTCACTTAATGACTCGACAAGTTGTTACTGACAGCGAAAATTAACCGAATTAATTAGCAAACTGTTTATTTAGACCGTAGGTGATGACTCGACCAATAATCCGAACTGTCGGCCAAACGACAGAACTGACATCACACTATGCAGCTTAGCGCCAGGAGAAAGAGCTGTCGCCAGGCGCCACACTCAACAGTGTGGCGCTACAGCTCAGACTTTGGCGTCAATATTGGAGTTTCAATCTGGAACTGTTTTTTGGTGTTACTAATCAACTGGGGTATGCCTAAAGTCGTACTAGGTCAATTCCGATTAAAATATTAGACTTTATTTACTCATTAATTAATTAATTAGGCAAAGTTCTTTAAGTCACTAATTTATTTAATCTCAGCACAAGTCAAACAAATGGTTAAGAGAAACATATAATATATGCACGACAAATAATGCACAATTAGTCAAGTAGGCACAATATGATGTAAGGAGTTCGCAACCTAACCATGGCTCTAGTTCTCTAAAGTTCGGGATATGGTTTAGTCAATAGAGGGTCCATGGTTAATTGTCCGGATGCACCGCGCGGAGGCCTAACCGTGAAGGGTTGGCGCGAGTGGATGGGACATCGCGAGGTTTAGAAAAAACTCGCTTCCATGGTTTGGTGAATTCAACATTCTCGGATGTACCCTTTGTTGCACAAAGCGTTCAATCAGGTAGATGGAGCATGAATTCCCAGAGGGTTATGTCCATATGTAAAACACATATGGGTTTCATAAAAGTGAGAAAAAATTCAATCAGGAAGTAGGATCGAGAAAACAATACGAAAAACCGGTTGAAATTAGAACGCATATTTCTGGCTCGATATTGGGGGAAATTGGCGCCAGCAATCAGAGACTGGCGCCAATTTTTAACTGTAGCGCCTGGCGCCAATGCTGGCGTCTGGCGCTACGACTAAAAGTCTGGCGCAAAGCTCTGGCCCATGGTGCTACTTCCCACATGCCTCAGCAGCTTTCTAGGCTCGATAAAATTTTCCAGTTTCGCGCGGTGTTATTTCTGTCCTAGTTGTGAAAGATATTTCTCAAATTTCCTACGTGTAAAATCCTATGTTTTTAACTCATTACGGATGGTCTTTCCAATGAGATCTTTTTTATGCATATGACAATAATGTTAATCAAAATTACGCACATGAAATACTTAGAACGTTTCAAGTCTCATCCACTCATTGTAAATCATTGCCGAAACAAATTCAGGAATTAAAATAGAAATCCTCCCCAGTGGAGTCGCCAAAAAACGTAGGGAATAATTTCAAGTGTTAACCCCTTGCTTGAACCCCACTTTGATCATACACTAAAGTACGATGGCGTCCAAAAGGGAAGAAGATAGAGCAAAAGAGTCGCCAACAAGTTTTAGGAACTTGTTAACCGTTCACAGGGTGAAGGTTACACCCCTTAACGATCCATGAGATCGTCAACTCCATAAGGTCTAGAACCAAATAAGGGTTCGGGGATGAAGGTACAAATCCAACCTAAAAGAGATTGAACCTGCCCTAATAATAGGCCTCTACTTTATTCTGATCGTATTGATGTGCGCTTTTTAATTAACATGCAATCAATAGGATTAACCCTAAACCTGTTTAATCTATGTTGGTTGAATATAATGCACAAATAAATCTATTATTGGCGATCACTTGAATTATAATCATATTAAAGCTAAACAAGATTATTAAATATCTTATTAAGCCTGATTACAAATACCAATTCCCTTTAAACATGCATAAAAGGCGTGATCAAGCAATAAAAATAAATAACCATCAAGCAACATAATAATAATCAACTATAATAATTATAATCATAAAATCATAAAGTATAATCATAATAATAATCATCATAATAATAATAATAATCATAATAATAATTATTATGTTAAAGCATAATAATAATAGCAAGATCCTAGACATGATACTAACAAGATTAATAACAAACCCTAGCATGTCACTAAGCATTAAAAATCAAATCTTTAACCCTAACATGATACTAACAATCATAAATATTAGGAAGAACGTAGGAAGCATCATACTTTTAATCATACTTAATATTAAAATTTCCCTAGACATTATACTAGGAATATCATAACAACATAAACATGATTTCTACATCATAACATCAATAAATCATTAAAAGTACTTACTTTGATGCCTCGTACCTCTTTCTAATAACAAAATACACATGTTAATAACTTCAAGGAAAATAATAAACAAACAATTAAATTAAATAATTGAAAGAGAGATTTGGGACCAAACCCTCATAAATTAAACCTTTCACGTCTAGGGCGAAGGCAATTTTGAATTTGGCTAGGTGTTTCTAGATCTTGTGAATGCGGAATTTTGTATGCGAAAAGCAAGTTTAGAAAAGAGAAAGAAAGAGAGAGATGGTGAATGATTAAAGAGAATGAGAGAATTAATGATTGCGAATGAAAACTGGTTGTAGGTGAATATAATTGAAAACTGGTTGTTGATTGAATGAAAACGGAGTTTTTAATACGTTATTTATAGAGAAAATAAGCCAAAAAGATAAAATTAACAAAAAACAGAGTCTGGCGCACGCAAAACGAGATTGGCGCCAATGCCAGCTTATTGGCGCCAGGCGCCAATGGCTGGCGTTGGGCGCTAATCCTGTTTTTGATGCGTTTTCTAAAATCAGATAAATTTTGCCGTACAGGAGGATAAAATCGTATCTTTTCCTCTAAAATGCTCTTTGATTTTAATTAAAACTCTGCAAAGTCAACAAAAATCAATTTATCAATGCTAATTGAATTTGGAATGAAAAGAACCTTCTAGAAGAATCTAGAAGACTAAAACCATTACTAATTGCATTAGGAATGATAAATCATATTAGGCCCTCCCCTAGATCATTGGGCCGCATATAAAGTTCAAATCGGGCCCAGTTTAGTAAATTGACCATAACTTCCTCAATATTTATCGGAATTAAGCTTATAATATATCGTTGGAAAGCTCTTGGAAAGCCCCATCCAACTACACTACTATTGGACCCATATCATGGACCAACCAAACTGGATTGACTGTTTTCTTAAAATAAGTTTTCAAAAATAGAGAGAAGAGAAAAGAAATTAAAACTATTCGCAACACTAGACTTTCCACACTTTCGCTTCATTCGATTATGATTCAACGTGAAGGTACTCATCACTGGGTTTGGTTTTGGGGAGACACAAATGGGTGTCTACACTAGCCATAGCAGCAGCCCGCAACATCAAGTGTGGGGCTGGGCTCTCGGATGGGCTGCGGCTGGGCTATAAGGCCGAGTACTAGGGGAAGCAAGTGGGAGCATATGGAAGCAAGTGGGGCGAGGGACATGTGGCACAAGGAGAGTATTGAGTGGGGAGCAAGTATGGTGCCCTACTCTCCATGTGGTCCTCACCACTCTTTACATATGATAGTGCCACTTGTAGATTTATTATTAGTTTGCTTATTTATTTTAATTTAGCTTTAAAATAAATTGTGGAATTTCATGACTCCCACATTGATGAGATAGAAATTCCCACTCTCCCTCTTGCCTATAAATACCTATCTTGGGTTTTGGGGAAGAGTGCTTGAGTAGGAGTTCAATAGAGTATTGAATTAGCAAATACTCTTAAACTCATATAATACTCGGGTTTTGGTCGGACCTCGCTAACCTCGAGGTAACGGACCTAAAACTCGTTAGTAGTTTTTGCGGGTGGATTTCCGTAGGAGGCTCGCGTATTTTCGGAGCTTAAAGCTTTCAAGTAAGAGCCCGACTTTGAGGGCGAAGCACGCTGCAAAGGTAAATTCCGATTTTATCCTTCTATGTTTATTTGTTATGCTTTATGGTTTTATTAATTGCGAGTGGTTCTTTGGGTCGGGGTTGTTTCCGCTGTGAGTCGGACTCACCAAACCCCAACAGCGGTATTGGAGCCTCGCTCGTTTATTTTTAAAATCATAATATTTTTCAAGGTGTTTTTATGGCTTAATTTTTTCTTGTTTTGAGTTGCTAATTAGATTAGTAGTTCGTTTTATATATTTTAACCTCGTATTTAAGCTATCATCAGCCCCGAACCCAGATTTCGACCCAAAAATAGTGAATTTTGGGTGGAAAAGGCGTTCTGGAAATGGTATTACCCCTTAAGGACTCGGTTTTTGGCCAAAAAATGACCAGAAATGCACTTTTCGAGGGATTTTTCATTTTGACGAAAATTTTTAAGTTTTTTTAGCTAACCATGAAAATTAATTGCATATTTATGGTGGTTATGTAATTGGTTCAATACATATTTTATATGCAAATTTAAACCTCTTTAGGCATGATTACTTGTGGTAATTTATGTTTAAAAGCTTGGTTTTATTTTTCACATAATTGCAAACTAATCCATAATATAACCCTTATAAAAGCCAATTGGGTTGAGGAAGTTTTGCTTTGGAAAATCCTTATGAACAGCGCTAGGACGTTTTTGCCCCTGTCATAATTTTTTTTTGTTCTTGCTGAATGCTTCCCTTCCGTTTTTGCCCTTGTGATTTCTTAAGGCTTTTTTCTCTCTCCTCCCTTTTCTATGATCTGGGTTTTAATTTCACTACTTTTCTTTCACCTTTTGCTGTTCGACCGTGCTCAAAGCTAAGGTTTCACTTTTGTTTCCTCAAAACTCATCTGCTGCTGGTGGTGTTAGCCGTGAACGGAAACGAGGTATTTCTGGAAACTTCAAGTTATTTTTCAATTTTCTCAAAACTCGAACTCAATCCAAGTTATTTTTAGATTTTTGTCGTTAAATGAAGAATCGATTGATTTTGATTAATTAGGTGTTCCATGGACGGAAGATGAACATAAGTTAATTTTGCTTGGATTGAGTAAGGTAGGTGAAGGTGATTGGCGAGGAATTTTCTCAAAACTCGAACTCCAGTGCAAGTTGCCGGTCATGCTCAGAAATACTTTCCCCGACGAAATAGTCTCAATCGCCGCCGTCGTATATCTAACCTCTTCGATTTCACCATCGATTCGGTATTATTTCTTGATTCCTTCAAAACATCATTCGATTTCCTCCATTAGAGCTGAGGTAAGCTGTTTCTTTTCTGTTTCTATCAATGATGAATTGTAATGGTTCCGATGATTGAATTTTGTTTATATACATGTAAATTTAAATTCTGAAGCATAAATTTGGTATTTTGTATTTAAAGGAATCTTGAGGGTTCTTCCACTTTTTGAACCTCTTTTGATTTCTTGATTATACATTTTAAATTTTGATTTGAATTTCTTTAATTTAATTGATTTATTATGGTCGTGGTCAGATGGCTTTTTGCTGCTGCTCATGGGACGACTCTGGATGTCTAACTTTTCTTACAATCCCGGAGTGATTCCTTATGGAAACCAACTGCTTGAAGAGGGAAAATTTGTGAGTCGTGAAGTAGTTTAGAACTATTTTATAAACATGTAGATTACCTAATTGATTTGATTAATTTTGTTTTAAGTTTCTCAAATTTAATTGGTTCAGGGTTTCTGATGAGTTTTTTTTTTTTGATTTGCATCTTATGAGGAGTATTTCGGCCTTTTGTCTCTAAACACAGCTGCTGAGTATAGGTAGGCGGCTATTGATAATTTTTTGCTCTTTTGGTTACTGATAATTGGTATTAAAAGAGGCGTTATTGTTAAATGCCCTTTTTAGAATTTTGATGATATTTGCTTGAATTTTTATATGGGTTAGAGTTATATGAGTGTTTTGTGGGTTCTTGTTTTTTTTTTTGTTTTTTTGGTTTTTTTTTTAATTGTTGGCCTCGATGCTACTGCTTGATTCTATGGTGGCCATTACTAGGTTGCATCCGAATCGTCTGGTTGCTGCTCTGTATTAATCCGGCGGCTAATTATGGTTATTTATTGTTGTTTCTGTATGTTGTATATATATTATGTTTGTAGTGTTTGCCGCAATTTCAGAGTTGAATGCATGGAGTTTAGCTTAATTATTATGTAGCTACTCTTACTTAAGGCTGCTTTTCAAGAAAAAAAAAAGTGTATCGTTTCTATTAGTTTTGTTATTAGACATTTAGGAGAGTAAATTATCGGAAATGATGCTCTGTCAGTGTGGGAAAGAGAACCAAAATTACAGGAATTGGTGGTCATGTTTGATTAAAGTAGTCATTCTTTGGTTGAGCTCGATTTATTCATCTGATCACGTTGATGATTGATTCTTTCTTCGCTAAGAGGTTAAAAGGCTCCAAATGATAACATTTCCTTAGATTTCTATTGCGTTCATTTCTTTGTTTTTGATCTTAAATACCCAGATGAAGGAACTGTGGTTTTTGTTTTATTATTGACTTATTGTATTGAACTATTGATTAAGCTAAGCCAATGTTAGTTAGTGAAGTTGGGAAAATAGATTTTGTTTCAAAATGTTAGACAACTTCTTGCTTAAAGTTTTCATCCATTCGGTTTATCCTCTGCAGAACGGTTGCTCTTGCTGGATCCATTTGATGAGTCTTTTCCCCAAATCCATGATTCTATGTTTGTGATGTAAGCTTCCCACACTTTTTTTACCCCCTAATACGAATGTCCTGACTTTCCTCTAAACTTGATTGTTGCATCAATTGAAGCAATGCATTATTTACTTATTTATTTTTCTATTTTTAAACTGAATTACTGGAACCAGCAGGGAAACCATTAAAGGAATCATCAGAACTGAAACCTGTGGCCAAGAAGCCTGCAACTCAGGCCAAGGTTCCTTTTGAAAAAGGTTTTAGTCCAATGGATTGGGTCAAGCTTACTCGTACGCATCCTGACCTTGCAGGTTGGTTCATGTAGTATATTTTTGTTGAATTGTTGTGTCTGGATGAATTTGCTTGGGGGTGTTGGGAAGCCTGATAACAGACAGGAGACACCCCACCTCTCAACCCTTTTTAATTGATCAAATACCCTAACTGTGCATGCAGGCAAGAGTTAGATGAGCGACAATGATTTATCGCTACTACTGTCTTTTGTTGTATATAAGTGGTCATTAATTAATGCTCTTTAATGTCTTGTTCTTTTTTTCCCCAATTGTGTATGCAAGCCTAGAATTAGATGTCTGGCTATTTCATATGGCGACTCTTGCTTTTTGGTTATATTAAGTGATCAGGAATGCTCCTTAATGTTAATATTTTGTAACTGTTAATATAGGATTGAATGGCCAGTCAAATAGGAGGCTTATACCTATGAGTGAAGTCAAACAACATCAATAAGAAGGCACCATGTGGACAGTTGTGCATGGACGTGTGTATAACATTTCTCCATACATGAAATTTCACCCTGGAGGTATGGACACTGTTTTTGCTACTAGCTATGTACTTTATTTGTCTTCATTATTGTGCCCAGTTTTATCTATCTTTGTTACCATCCATATGCTATGTTCTGCCTGCTGTGAGCAATATCCTTGTTACCATCCAGAAGTTAATTTTATGTTCTGTCTGCTGACATGTTTGCAGTATATACCCTGCATTTTAAAATTTTCTTTAATGAAATGCACACTGCTTCTACTGTTTAAGGAATTCAATAGGGGAAAAAAACAGGGTCCATTTTATTAAACAGTAGTCAGTAGATAAAAGAATGCCACCTATGGGAATTAGTATGGGATCAGGAAGAAGGGTACAGGCTGTCAAAACCTGGAATTTGATTTAATTTTTTTATTTTTATTTTTTTTAATATATATGCTTAGGTGCTGACTGCTGAGTCCTGTGGTGATTTTGGAAAGAATTTCTGCTGGGTTTTATGGTGTGTTAGAAAATTATAACCTTTGCATAAATGAAATAGCAGGAACAATTAGTGTGACTTTCATAATAGATAGGATTAAACAATGGCATAATAGACAAAGGAAGACCTTATTAGTACTCTCAACCATTAAGCCTTAGCTTCCACGTGTAGCAATGCCCCCATTTATATTGCAAAAATTTTCATGAAAACTAGATACAATGAGTGATCATAAGCTTTTATCTTTAGTTGGGCTATCATTTAGTTGGCCTTAACTTCCAGGTGTTCTGAGCAATGTCCCCATTCTTATTGCTTCAGCATGTCTACCAAGTGAACCACAATAAAGAAAGTTTCATGGGTAAGTATGATGATTATCTATAGTCTGAGCAGTACAAGTGTACAACCATACCCTGTGTCCCTATCACCGCTTATAGCCTTCTTTCCTGTATTCACCAGAAATGAATGTGCTGGCCACTGGGTGTTGCCCGGTGGTTCTCAACTGTTCATATTTTTGTAAGGATATAAATAGCCTGAATGCATTCCCCACAAATGGTCCTTATCTGGCGAAATCTCTGGATATCATTATTTTGGCACGATGCTTTACTTTATCTAGGTTCCGTATTCCCATAGATCAAGTGTTAAATGAATTAGACTGAGTAGGTTAGAAGGCTTTCTCTTGAACCTAAAGAGGTTCGTCTTGCTTTAATGCTTTGTGGCTTTGTGCAATTGAGATGATGGTCAAGAGTGTATAGTGAGTATTATACCCAAGTACATGCCTTTTATAAATTGTTGAAGACCATTGCCTAGCAGCTAGGATAGTTGACTACTTATATAGATAAGACTTATCACAATTATGTCTTACTTGTATAGTTTCGTGGGGCCATATAATACATAGCACTCGGAGCATTACCCATCCAACATAGTCTATCTCCCTCCCTTACTCCCTTCTAAGTTATTATACTCCTGATGCATTTTAGATATTGATGAAGCCTTATCTTTATTTCTCCTTCAAACTGAGGAAAGCTCTTATCAATTAGTGCTACCCCACTCCCCAACACTAAAATAAATTTGAAGTGAAAATGATTGTTCCATCATAAAGTTATTTAGTAGTAAAATCTTAGATGACTATGTTGTCCCTTGAAAATCAGTGGCCAATGACACTGCTGTTGAAATGTTTGAGATATATACAAAAATAACCTTTTATTTATATTTTATTTTTTTAAGATAAAGAAATAAATATTTTTGTAATTTTTCTCTTTAACTTGATGCATGGTTCAAGATTAATCTTTAAACCCTAGAAATAATTATAATGTATGTCCAATAGGAAAACAATTTAATTGAATTTGATTATTATATTGATTGGAGTGGAGAAGCAAACATATAGAAATTAAAATTTTTTACAAAACCTTTCTCTCCAAAATTTCAAGTAATAAATTCAATGTTGAAATTAATCATCATAATTTAATTTATAAGAGGATTAACATTAACAAATGGTATATAGTAGTTCAATGAATAATTAGTGTATTAATATTAAGTCACCTGTGATAATTAAATAAATACAATTGCAATTCACCACCATTCAATTATATAATAAATCACTAGCTAGTACACATCGTTTTATTACGATGAAAAATATAGATGTGTCCGGTTGCATAAATAGGCTTTCGCATAATTTTTTTGACACTTATAATGAGAAATCAATTGTAAAAGCTCTATCTACGTTCATGTATATTTGGTGGTGATGTCTTTAAAAAATGTACAGGAAGAAGCCCTAGAATGGAAGAGATGCCGGAGAGCGTACGGAGCAGTTTGGGACATAGCAAATCCACCAAGGGGTCCTCTAATAGTGACGCTCTTCTTAGATGGAAGTGTAAGTAAGAGAGCTAGATGGGTTTTGGTTCCTAAATTCATCCTTACTTATTGGCAAGCTGGTGTTGCTTATGATACTTCTATTAAACTTAAATAGATAATTTAGGGCTACTTTATTCATGTTTAATTAATTATATATATGCTGGATTCTTAATTAAGATCATGAATCATTGTATGATTTTGTGGAGCAATCCTACTTAATTAATTTTTTTTTTGTTTTATTTTAAAAGCCACAATTGGCATCTTTAATGAGTGAGGGGTTTGTACTTTGTATTGTATACTTGTATTGTGTGAGAACCATGCGTACTTTAAATCGTTAGTTTAATTCTGCCATGACTGTAGATCCTTGCTTTTACTTTCCTAATTTATTATTTGGCATAATATATATACAAATCATACTATTGAATTTGATTTAATATTGCACATACCAAAGTTGTATATCTCTACTAATGGGCATAATCTGAATATAAAGCATGTGATCAATATAAATTTATCATTTGATTTCCAATTTTATTTAATTTTAGGGCGAAAGCATGACATGTGAGTTTTAACTCAAATGCAAAACAATCTATGAAAAACAAAAACAACAAAGTTTTTATAGCAACATTCGTAAAACCCCACTTACAAGGTCACACATAGATTGTATACTTCATTTGTTTTTAGGAGTGAGAAGCTTATTTTCGATTATTGTTTTATCTTTTTTCACTTATTCGAACTCAATTTTGTCACAACATATATTATCACACAACTTTTCGGTGCAGCAAGTCACACCGTGTGGTAGGGGTTACCCGAGTTATTTTGTTAGGGTTTATCCGAGTTATGCAGTCAGGGGTTACTCGAGTTACTCGGTCAAGAGTTACTTGTAGGGTTCAGATAGGGGTTACTCGAGAGGTTCACTCGGTTAAGGGTTATTTGAGGGATTACTCAATCAGGGGTTTACTCGAATTACTCGGTCAACGGTTACTCGAGGAGTTTCTCGGTCATGGGTTACTCGAGTTACTAGGTAAGGGGTTATTATAGGAGTTCGGTCAGGGGTTATTTGAGTAATTCGATAAGGGTTACTTAAAGAGTTCGATCAAGGGTTACTCGGTTAGCGGTTACTTGAGGGTTCATTCAGGGGCTACTTGAAGAATTACTCAGTCTAAGGTTAGTTGGTCAGAGATTACTTAAGATAGAGGAGGAGAGGAAGGGGAGATGGAGAGAAAGGTAAAGAGAGGTAGAGAAACAAGGACGAAAATCGAAAAAATCGTCGAGAGAGAGAAATGGAACTAGGAAAGTGAAGGGTTTGAAGAGAAAGACAAAGAGGGGCTAAGAGATAGGGCAGATCGAAAGATAGAGATTCCAGTTCAAAAGAGATAAGGGGTAGGATAGAAGAAGGGATAAAGGCCTAGAGAAAAAAAATTAAAAAAATGGGAGAGATAGAAATATGGGTTATGAAGGAAAGAAGATGATATAGAAAGAGGCTTAAAAAAAGATATAAGGACAGGAGAAATGCAAGGAGTTGGAAGAGAAATAAATGGAGTGATAAATAGGGAATATAACTAAGAGAAAAGGATAGAGAATGAGTATATGATATAATAATAAAATAAACGAAGGAGAAGGCTCGAGGGAGAGAGAGGGAGTAAGTGCGACCTATAATTTCCTATTATTGTTTTATCTTTTCTCACTTATTTGAACTCGATTTTGTCACAACATATATTATCAAAAAACACTTTGGTGCAGTATGCCACACTGTGTGGCAGGGGCTACCCGAGTTATTTTGTTAGGGGTTATCCGAGTTATGCAGTCAGGGGTTACTTGGGTTACACGGTCATGAGTTATTTGTGGGGTTCCGATAGAGGTTACTCGAGAGGTTCACTCGGTTAAGGGTTACTTGAGGGATGACTTGATCAGGGGTTACTCGAATTATTCGATAAAGGGTTACTCGAGGATTTACTTAGACATGGGTTACTCGAGTTAGTCGTTCAGGGGTTACTCAAGTTACATGGTAAGGGGTTATTTAAGGAGTTCGGTCAGGGGTTACTTGGGTAATTTGGTCATGGTTACTTAAAGAGTTCGATCATGGGTTACTCGGTTAGCAGTTACTTAAAGGTTCATTTAGGGGTTAATTGAAGAATTACTTAGTTCGGGGTTAGTTAGTCAAGGTTACTTAAGATAGAGGAGGAGAGGAAGAGGAGAAGGAAAGAAAAGGAAAAGGAAGTAGAGAAACAAGGGCCAAAATTTTGATGATATTTTGGGAAGATTTAAAGGTTAGTCTATTTTAGGAGAATGGAGCAAAGATTGGTTTGTTGTTGTTAAATTTTCCTTTACAAAAATTAAGCTAGCATGTACAATTTATAAAAACTATGCTAAATAACTAACTTATACGTCTTGCTAATAATTTTCTTAATAAGCTTCACAAACCGGTGCGCACGCAACGCGCGCGACGCAATCGGGATAGTTGCATTAAGTGTGAAATTGTTGTTCTTTGAGGCTTCCAAGTACTAAAGATTCAATATTTAATTATGTTAAGTGATTGAAACTTTAAGTTACTAAATTCCATGAATTTTTGTTAAACTTTGTTGATTTAATCATTTTTAGTTGATTGGAATCATAAAGTTTGAAACTTTGTGATAGAAAATTGTTTATCTTCACATTCGAAGATATAATTTTTCAAGGATTCACAAGTATTAAAGTTGGAATATTTACTGAACTTATGTTCATTTTTCCAACTCCCTCTTATTTTGTCAAAAACTCAAGATTAATTTAAATTAATTAAATTAATAGTGAGTAATTTCCCTCTTATTTTTGTTGCACCAAGTTAAACCAATTTAATTAAAGAATGGTTCTTGGGAATTATTTTGGTTAGATGCACTTTGAAAATTTTATTTTAAGTGAGAATTGTTTAAATTTTTCATTTTTCTTAATAAATTAGTTCTAAAATTAATTTAGAATTAATTAAAATGTCACGGAAAATTTTGGGATCAAAGTCCCGTGGCTATGGCAAGAAAATCAAGGCATAAGCACCCTTGGCTAGCTGGGCTGCGTAGCAGCCCGCATGTGGCTGCCAAGGGGCTGCTTGAGGATGCGTGCAGCCAAGCCGTGGCTAGGTAGGTACGCACGTCCTCATAGCAGCGGCATCACAGCAGCAGCACGCTGCCTTGATGGTGCGTGCATGCATGCGTGCTGTGGTGCGTGGTGTGTGGGGCTGTTATGGTGCGTGGTGCGTGGTGCACGGTGCACGAGCATGGTGTGCTTGGACTTGGTGCATGCGTCGTGTAAAAGGGAATATGCGTAGACGTTTCTTGCGAAGTAATGTAGTGCAATGAGTTCGTACAACATGGCCATCAAGGGCCACGTTATTGATGTGTGAAAGTTCGCTGATGTGGGCGGTGTAACGCTTAGCGACATCGGGCCCACTCCCACGTTCATTGAGCATCAAACGGTTGTGCGGAATCTGAGCACTCCATGTCTTAGTGCTAGGCACTTAGACATTTTAGACTACGTATTTTTGCTTAAATTGTCGTTTTAATTATTTTATTAATCTAATTTGGTTTTAATTACTTTAATAAATTTTGGAGGCTAGGCCTCGGGTTTTGAGTGGCATTGGCAAAATTTACTTTGACAAATTTTGGGTTTTACGGGCTTAATTAATTGGATTAATTGAGTTGGATGCGGAATTTAGTGGGAGTTTCAAATATTAATTGCGCTTATTTACATAACCGGTTAAAACAACTTTGACTAGTTTTAATTAGGAGTGTTAATTGGATTAACCACCTAGATTAGTTACTAGTTCACGCGTGTTTATGCATTGTTACTTGTTTATCGTTTTAAAATGCATGGGCCATTCACAGATAGTGAATGGATGAATGGAATATATATTCTATCACAGGTTTTATGAAATGGCAACTAGTGGGGCCCGATTAGTATAGAAAATACGGACTGCGATCCGTGATGTATTTTTGTAAATCTAAATAAGGTCTGCGAACCGTTGATTATTTTTGTACCTTAATATTTAGATTAGTCTTAATCATAGATACTAGTAATTGAATTTAATTTTTGTCAAGTCTTGGAAGACGAAGCCATGAAGTTGCAAATGAAGACCTTTTGAAGATTTCAAGATCTCAAGGGGTCATGCTAGTTGCCAAACGCATCTCTATTTATGTTTTTCGATATATATATGTGTTTATGTATAAAAATTATATGTTAAGTGCATGTTTAGGATTTCGAATGTTGTGATGATTAATTATGTTCACTTAAATCAACCAACATAGAAACCCTAGTTCCCTAAATATTGAGTAAAACTTGCCATTCCAAAACAACACTTACCAACCGAACGAGGGTAGTGGTGGGCTACGCCAAAGCAACGCATCACTACCTCTCCAAGGAACGTAAGGCATACCGGATATGCAAGTTGTTTTTGGTTATACTCAACGATATGAGTGATGGAGTCCTAACGTGTCGTGGCAAAGTGAATAAATTGTTGAGAGAGCATTAGATGCGACGATTTATTCAACCAAGAGTGGCTTGGAGCCATTAGAAAAGCGTTGCTTACCTTAGGAGATTGAGTGTTAAGACAAGCCAAAGCATGCTTAATCACTCTTTGTTTCTTCGGATCTTGGAATCGACTTATTCTCACCCAAAACGGGGAAAACTTTAAATGTGTGAATAAGACGTTTTAAATAATTTTGATTAAAAATGCATGAATTCAATCTTATTTAGAGTATTATGAATGGTTTTTCATTTCAAATTCTTTTAATTGTATAATCATGTCTTCAAAAAACTCAAACAACCAATTCCTGTTACGCTCAATTCTCGACAAGGAGAAGTTGAGTGGGCTAAATTTTCTTGATTGGCAAATAAATTGCGAATTGTTCTCATGCAAGAGCAAAAGGAATATATCCGTGATGAGGAAATGCCCGAGGCTCCCAATGAGGAGGTGACTCAGGCCCTAAATCGATGGCAAAGTGCCAATCAAGATGTCAAATTCATCATGTTGGCCACAATGTCTCCTGAACTTGAAAAGACTTTCTTTGAGAAGGAGACATCTTTTGAGATCATTTCTGAACTACATAATATGTTCCAAGAGCAGGCCCGAACTGAAAGGTTTGAAACCCACAGGCAGATCCTTGAGAGCAAGCTCAAGAAAGGAGAGCCAGTCAGCCCACATGTACTCAAAATGATAAGATTGTTTGAGAACATGGGAAGGCTTGTTGCGGGGTATTCAACCGGGATGACAATTGACATCATTCTCCACTCGCCGCACAAAGGCTATGATCAGTTATGATGAACTATAACATGCACAACATGGAGAAAACCCTCACCAAGCTTCATGGTATGTTGAAGCAAGCAAAGCAAAC